CTTTTTATAAACTACTATTCTTCTAATCTACTCTTGTTCTAACTTACGTGAAATTAAAAATGTGAGATTAGATTGCCCGAGGAAAGCCGCAAACTAAACCATCCGAGACAGAGTGTTAAATGATACTGTCAGACAGACGAATAAATGAACTTTTTTTTTAAAGGTCTTAAATTGGGCATGCAGACCCGTTTAACATTCGGCCCTTCCAAACAGGCATCTTTCACAGACTGTGGGAACAGCACATTGCACCAAATTCCTTGAGACGCAGAAGATCAGATGGTTTAATCGTCTCAATAGAATGCACCCGTAACAGCCACCAACACAGACGCTACATCTGAAAAGATGGTCTGTGAGAGCAGGAAGTCACCATAGGAGATGTATTGAGGACAGTAAAGACACTCTGTCGACCTCAACACGGAATGATAGTGGTCAGTGCTACCAACCGAGCAGAGGGTGGGAAAGTGTTCCTCGTCCCACCACGCTTAACAGCAAAAGTTTAAATTGTTGATGAAGCTGATGATGAACATTGGTTGATCAAGTAAGACCAACTGTAGACGCACAACACCAAAATTGATTAAACACAGGAAGAATTGTCACAGCTAAGCGTGAGGACAATTCAGACTTCAAACTGAATGCAATCGGAAAGTGGGGATGTTGTTATGTGTGCAACAGCCAGTCCACGTGAGTGTTAAGACTGTGTATGCGTGTGCCGTGTGTGAGTGTGTGTTTGTGTGTGTGTGTTAAAATTATCGATGCCTTGATCAGAAAGAGAACCGCCATGGTATAGCGGTTAGATACCACCCTGTGGATCCGAAGGTCGTGGGTTTAGGTCCTGAACTATTTTTCAAAAATGACCTGGGCTCCCAGGTCGACTCAGCCTTAAATGGGTACCAGGTAAAAGTCTTGGAAAATAAAGGTGGCCGGCATGATGCTGACCACATCACTCAACAAGGGTGGATTTGTCTTTGAAATATAGGTCCAGCCCTATATGCCCAATATGTTTGCAGGCATGGAAATAAAGGTCCCTATACTTAATCAGAAAGCCCGTTGTTCTATGTATGTATGTAAATTGTACCCCACCAGGACATCACACAAAGCGATAAACACCCGGTGACACGAAGTGCCACCAAGCAGATGAGGACCACCCGTGGAGAGGTCCCAGAAACCCCGTTCAGCCGTTAGGCCATATTTATGGCCCAGATATATTTAGGGACCCCGGCAAAAGCCAGTTTGGGCTTCAGATAACGAAAATTTGCATCCCACATGGGGACGACTAAGGAACGATAACCCGTTGTTCTAGCATAACCAGTGAGTAGCTCGCGACATTCGTGATAGACAATTATGGTGCCAGAATTAATTGTGTTATCATGTGCCATGTCTATCGTACAGCTTGAAATCCACAGCCATGGAATTCGTACAGCATTCATATCAAACCATAGAAATGGCCATTGAAAAGGTTACATAAATTTATATGAACCAAAAGAAGAAATGCGTATTCTTTTGGCAACTTTCCGTCTTTCTAAACGATAGTATCGATGTGTGCTGTATCATCACATGTACCCTAATTTCTTTTCTTTACCAGCCATTTCAACATTCAAAGTACGTTCCCTTTTTTCTCCCTACTGCCAACTGTGTTTGCTCTGTTGATCTGTGAATCCTTTGACAGACTGTTTTAAACTCTCATTCGTCATTTACCCGCATCTAGTTCACTTGGACCTTGATTAGGGCGTACATCTATTGCATGACGTTGGTGAAGAACGGAGCTTTCTAAATTTGTCATGGTAATGATACACGTACCCGTGGGGGTTCCGGGGTACAGAAGATAAACGACTAGACCCACCCCCCACCTCCTCAACGAGCATGTTGTAAGAGTCAGCTAATTATGGGCATTTCCCTAAGAGGCGATGAATTAACAATCTGCATACAAGTAAGCCAGACATGTAAACGGATGTGCACGCAAAACTCGTTCTGAAACAAGACCTACATTCCAGATGTATTCCAAAATACAAGTTTTTGTGTTCTTCGAATTTTGCTTGCTAAGACAGGCTTCCTAATTATTCACCCAGTCGGTCAGTCGGTCAGTCGGTCAGTAGCATATCCTTTGCAGAACCTTGCTCCCATAACAACTCTCCGGAAAACTTCTCGATACCAAGCAAGATGAGCTGTGTCTGATACACTCATATGGAAATCATCCGCCATATCTTCTCTTTGGCCTTCCTCTTACTCTCTTCCCAGGCATAAACCCCTCGATTATTGTTCACTCTAAACTTTCGTGACGTTTCAAGTGACCAGAATTTTTCAATTTTCTGTGTTTTATCGTATTTAATAGCCAACATTCTTTAAATTCAGTTCTTGAAGTATGGATGCATTGGATTTTTTCTTTACCCATGATATTCTTAAAACTTATCTAAAACATTTATATTCAAAGGTATTTGTGCGCTGTTCAGCTTATTTAGGAAGTGTTATTATTCACTACAGTCTTTAAAACTAGCTCTATCAATCGAGCAATCGCAAATGTAGATTACACAGTCTCTGACCCTCTGCCGTGTGCGTCAAATACCCTAGGTAAGCATCAGTCATCGGAGTTAGGGCGTTCGGGCTTTGAGCGGCGCTCTTGGCACACAGCTGGCCGTTCTGGGAAAAGATACTGAGCTACACGGGATAAAAACAGGCGCAATAAAGTCTATCCTCTGGACTTAAACTTCTAAAAGTAAGTTCATAGCACTGACCGTTCCTGCATGCCTGGTTGTCGGCTCTTCTGCTTCTCCCCGGAGGGGGAACTGTGTGGTCTCCATGCATGGCGTTTGCCTCGAGTGCTGGAGGTCCAGGGTTCAAGTCCCGGTGAAGGCTGAGATTTTTCCACGTGGACTTCTAGTAATTTCCCCTGGTCTCTGGGTAGCAAGATCGGACACCCGTGTGTATTGTTACGCACGTAAAACGTCACTTGGCGATAGTGTTCGTAGTTATGTTTATAATTTTTAAAAACTGCTTAACCTTACTATTTTTTAAAATCTCCAGACATGCCATTCTGAACTCCCCTTAAATCAGCTGTTATGGACCGATTAAACGGGTTTGTTCAAGTCTGGCACACCGCCTCTTGTTCAGCAGACGACAGCAATGGCGTCATAGAGGGTCATGTGACCACAAGCAGTGATGTAACGTTTACCCTGGACTTTCCAGTGCCCAGGGAGTTTTATGCTAACTCGCCAGCAGCAACGCAATACTCTTCCATGGGAAAACGAGATACCAGTAAAGGTAATGCAGATTTGGGTCGGTACATGTTGACCTTAGTGACAACTCCCCCCACCCCCCACCACTTTTCTTTTTAAACTGTCTGTCTTTCGGTGTCAGGATATTAATTTAGCCGGGCGGCAAGTTGCTGTTAATTTTAGTTGTTTGTTGTTTGTTTGTTTTAGAATCCAGAAGCCACGAGTTGTTAACCTTTAGGCTCGGTATTATGGATATCGCAACTTTTCGGCCATGATTCCATTTTAAATACCGTAAATCTGGGAGAAATGTGGCTTTTCTGCCCAGCCCCGGGAATGAACCCGGACCACAAGGAGATCGTCACCCGCTCACCGCGCAGTCCGGTTTAGCCAACTACGCTAGAGAGACGGGCATTAATTTTAGTTAGATTGCACATGCGGAAAAATCTGGCTGCTCAATGAGTCACGGACAACGAAGTCTTCTAGTATATGCCTTATTTTGGGAAGGCAGTGGATTTATTCTTGTTTACACCTCAATGGGAACCCGGAAGCCACACTGGGATTTTGTGTAGTGACTGTGATGCTGTACAATACAATCACTGCCAACCTGTTGTGCTACTCATACGTCTCACATTCTTTTCCTATATCGCATTCTATCCTGTGCAAACCCTTTAATATCATGTTTGTGATACACACTGCCTTCTCTAATACTCTAAGACTGGAGCCGGCCGTGGTGATACAGTACGACACTTTTCTCATCACAGTCTGTATTACCGGTTTTCTTGGACGTCTTTGCTTCCTAAATTCTTTTGTTTCTCATGTCGTTGTTTGTTATGTGATTTTATGTGTGTGGAGCCACTTCTTCTCAGAATATAGCTAATATAAAGCATGTTTCATGTGGGAAAACGAATGCATTTCAAGGGTAACCGAAGAGAAAGAGACGGCAGCAAAAAAAAAAAAAAAAAAAAAGAATGGGATGAAAAGGGGGAAGATAAGTCAGAAGAAGTAGACAGTGAAAGGAAAAAAAACGAAAAGAAAAATAGAAGAACAAGAGGAAAACGAAGGTGATGAAGAGGCAAAATGATGATGATGATGGTGATGATGATGATGATAATAGTAATAGTAATAAAAATAATAATATTAATAATAATAATAATAATAATAATAATAATAATAAGAAGAAGAAGAAGAAGAAGAAGAAGAAGAAGAAGAAGAAGAAGAAGAAGACACAGCAGCAGTAGCAGAAGCAGATGTTGGAGGAGAAGTAGGAGTAGGAACCAACGAATGAACTTACATTTTCAAAGCTGTAGGAATTGGGTATGCAGAACGAAGAAGAGGAGAAAAAAAGAGATGGATAGAAGATAACAATAAGGAAGAGCAAGAAAAATAAGGAAGATTTCTTAAAAGGGGTTGAACACTAAAGGGGCGGAGGGGGTGGGGGGGGGGACAGAACACTGCTCCTCCCTGGTGCATGTCAAAAGTGGGGTAGCCATTTTGAGACTGTCATTATGACGACACGTGCTCAATACTCTTGACATTTTAACAACAATAACGACAGTTTACAAGACAACGGCACGGTTGTGGTAATTTCTATCCCACTGTTAGCATTTTCAAAAGTAAGTATGAGATTTAACTTGTCTCTCCACAGTTCTAGTGATTGACAACTGTGGCCAGCCTGGCTTTAACGACCCCGCCAGTCTCGAAGGTAGCCGAACTATAACGAATTTATCCTGGACATCGGCGAAGATTGCCGAAGCTTGCGAACAGTACAGCGACGTCTCAACGTTCCATGGCATGCGATTTGTATGTGGGAAACATTTTCATCGAGTTAGAAGGTAATATGTTGCGTGTGGATAATGATCATCATTATCATCATCGTCATCATCATCATCCATGTCTTGCCGACTGGCGTGGCTTACCAAGCATTTATATAATCTGAGATCTTTAACAGTATATATCAGTTCGTTTGCTGACACCCTCGATGACATGACAAAAAGCTGTCTAGAATTGTTTTGAGGTCCCCCCCCCCCCCCCCCCCCACCCCACTCACCCCCTCCACAGAGCTGTCCGATGGTCACAACATATTCCAGTTTCATTCTTATCATAACATGGCCCCAAAAAATGATGACTGTCTCTTTCTGATGTTTAGGATAATTTGTCTTCGAGTCCTTGCCACTTTCAAAACATCCTCACCAGGTGAATGATAAAAATATTACAACCCAGTGCATAAAGCTCCCCAACGTTTCTGGCTTAAATAATATTTTATGCAAACCTTCTCTGTCATTTGAGAAGAGCAAGAGCATTCTTAAAAGCTATATAAATCCTTTCTTGATATATGGAAATGAATCATCGACAAATGGTAAATTAGTGAAAACGTATTTGGAAGTGCGGAGATGTGGTTTTTATAGACAAATGGTGAGAATACCCTGGGCAGATAAAAAAGAGTAATGAAGACGTTATGAAAGAAACTAACTCACGAAGAGAGAAGATTTCCCATATCAGAAAGAGACTACAACGTTTGATCATATGATGGGAAGGAGAAAACTGGAGTACATCGTCACAGTTGGGGAAGCTGGAGGAGAGGAGAGGCAGAGGGAGACCGAGAGAACAGATGCTGGGCAGTTCGACATCATGGCTTAGAAAACCATCTGTGTCAAGTTGACTGAAAGTACACGAGACATAAGCTAAAATAACAGCCACAATCGATACTTGCCTCAAAGTATTGGTCGTCATTTAAGCATTATTAACTGTGATGTCAAAGTGAAGACGTCAACTGGGACTTGACAACTGGAGTAAACTCATCGGTGAAGATATCAATCCAGTAGCGTCTGGGTTTTTGCCTGATGCCAAGCAGTAATGCATGCATGTGTCAGCATCCCGATCCTCCTACCTGCTCAGTGCAGCAGGGTTGAACTTCATGTCACCATTACGCCCGCCTACGTTAGTTAAAACATTTTTGAAAGTTTAATGTGTGGGGGAAAGGGGGGGGGGGGGTATGTGAGTTTTTTTGTTTGTTTAGGCAGTATGCTACTGTACGCAGTACCAATCATAGTTTACGGAATTTTGTTTCCAGCACTTCTGTAGTAGATACTTTGCAATGAGTACCGGCCCCTTTTGTTCCACACTTTGTAGTAAGTACCAGCGCCTATCTAGAGATTTGTCATGTTGGGCTAACAACTTTTTCTCCTTGCACCTATTTTGTAATCTCCCTTAAAAGATAGGTTGGTGCCTTGTGTTGTGGTTTACAGCCAGGCTGTGTTTTCTTCGTCTTTCATCACAACACATCCGATTTCAACAAACCCATAATTAGTTGAATTTTAGTATATACTTGTTAAGGAGCAGTGGATCTGACCCCCCCCCCCCCCTCTTGCCCAAACCAGTGGGGCCCCGGAGACGCAGGGGTGTCAAACATTCAGGTAGCAGGGCTGTCGAAACATAGTGGCTCAGGCACACTGAGGCCCCTTTAAAAAAAACGAATTTTAGGTGTTGGCAGAACCCCAGGCCACTTCAACTTATAACATTTGGGAGGAAGGGATGGGGGGGGGGGGGGGGGGAGAAGGGGTCTTTCCATATACTCAAGGGTGTACCACCTGAAAAAGGCTGAAGACCACTGATTGTAATCAGTTCTAAGCGTGGGTTAATTTTCTTCAGGGCATCTTCATTAGACTTATTGTCTGTTCAGGGATTTCTCAACATTGGTCAAAGAGTCTCAGTCTAAAGTTACATTTAATACTTTTGTTTTAGAGGGACACAACCCTGGTTTAACTGGTCGACTCATTCTAAAATGGGCACACCGTAATGTTACGGGAAGTAAAGGTGGTAATAATTTATACATGTTATGTGCTTTGAAATGTATTATTTTATTGATTTGCAATGTATCACTTTATTTTTATTTTTATTATTATTATTATTATTAGTAGTAGTAGTGGTAATGGTAGTAGTAGTAGCAACTAGGGCTGTACCGAATATTCGCTTCGTATTCACTTCGGGGCCGAATAGTGGACCTAATAACTATTCGGTATTCGGCCGAATAGTTGCGGTCGGGCCGAATACGAATAGTGATTACCTTACACCTGTTTCTGGACTAGTGGGAAATAAACATATCAAGATATCCCACCTTGGTTTATACTGTCAAGCGTTACTTTGTGTACCACATACGAGTGTACCAAGTGAACAACGTCTGTTTAGCACAGCTGGAAATACCCCCAGTGAGACAAGAAGCTGCATTAATTCTGCCAACACGGAACGATTGTGTGTGTGTGTGTTTTTTTAAAGCTTATGCTTTCTTGCTTGCTACATACATCCAGTTTTAACATATGGCTGTGAGTCCTGGACAATCGGTAGGCAGGCCAAACAATTTCTTGAGGCCTCAGAGATGTGGTTTTACAGAACAATGCTTAAAATACCTTGAACGGCCAGAAAAAAGCAACCAAGAGGTTTTAAAAGAGGCGGGAGCCCGAAGACAACTACTCACATACATCAGCAGGAGACAGTCATCATTTTTCGGCCATGTTATAAGATGAGGGAAAATGGAACATCTGGTGACCACTGGAAAGATCTATGGAAGGAAATATAGAGGAAGACAACGAGAGAAGATTCTTGACAGTCTTGTTGCATGGCATGGAAGTGTGTCAGCACACGAACTAATACATGCTGCAGGAGATCGCAGATTGTGGCAAGGCATAATCGCTCATGCCAGTCGGCAAAGCACCTGATGATAATGATTTACTATTCGTATTCGTATTCGGCCGAATAGTTGGTCCAGCTATTCGTATTCGGCCGAATAGTGAAAATCACTATTCGGTACAGCCCTAGTAGCAACAGCAGCAGCAGTAGCAACAGCAGCAGTAGTAGTAGCAGCCACAGTAGTTGTAGTAGAGGTAGCTTTAGTAGCAGTGTGTAGTAGTAGTAGCAGTAGTAGTAGTAGCAGAAGTGGTAGCAGAAGTAGTAGCAGTGTGTAATAGTAGTAGTAGCAGCAGCAGTGGTGGTGGTAGTAGTAGTTGTGGTGGTGATGGTGGTAGGGCTGGTGGTCATTGTAGCAAATACGACTTAGACCCCAGGCCAGAAAATGGTTAAGAGACTTGAGAGCCGCCCCCCCCCCCCCCCCCCCATGTTTTGTTTTGTTTGTTTTGAAGTCCTTGGTATATTGCCATACAACATACGAATATGAGGGTAAAAACTACCCAGTCACCGACGTCGGACTACTAGCTACTTCGTAACCGCTTTGTGGTGCCCAAATATTACTGTGCTATGTGGATATACGGTTGAACAGGGTTTGATTTGATTTGATTTGATTCAAGAACCGACATTACAGCACTCGGGGCATTCCCATGAGCGTTCCGTCCCCATCTTCAGCAGCCAGGGAAGAGTTCCGATACTAATGGTGCCAGTAGCATTCTGATTAAACATCCGCCTTGCCTTTCCACTGAGCCTCGAGCATCTGCCAGAACCTCTCGTCACTCCCCGCTGCATCCATCTCACCAGACTGTGGTGATCCATCAGCTCCTCCGAACTGTACACGCTCTCCCACAAGGCACTAACCAGGTATGTATCAGTATTCCACCAAGTTGAACAGGGTTTCCCGGAGTTGTACCAGTTTGATTTGAATGTTAATCCTTCAAATGCGATCCTGCAGGGAAGAACTGTTTTAACAAATATAGCCGGTAGACAGTTTTTCGGTTCTTAATTTATAACGTACCCCAAACACGAAATCCCCGTGGGAAATCCACAGCTGACCTGACAGTCCATTATTTCAAGGGGTGGAAGTGGGCTGTTGTGTGTGTTTTTTTTTAAAGTTTTCATCTAGTGTCTTCTAATGCTAACCCTAACCCTAACCCTAACCCTAACCCTAACCCTAACCCTAAACTTGGCTGTAGATCAATCGCGAGAAACTACAACCTGAACACCCTAGAATTTATTGGGAATGTCTCCGGTGACGTTGTCGTGACGTCAGGGGTAAGTTATAAATTAAGTACCAGTTTTTCTATCCATTGTTTTACGTTTATCCATTTTTATCTTATTCTTCGTCTCTTCCACCATTTACTTCAGCGAGATGTTGGGAGGAGATGTAAGGATCGTTTGTGCGCTTTTTCCAATGCACTGTACAAGTTGGTATTAATTTCTGTTAGCTTGCTCCTGATGGTATCGTCCATGCCTTGCATGGTCTTCCCCTTGCTCTGTGTTAATTATATTTCTCCAGCGTGGCTCTCTGTGGCAGCTGGTACCAGGGCATTCTCGTCAGGTGGCCAAACCATCTCATTTGTTGTTCTTTAATGAATTGAATGACTGGTTTCAGTCCTTGTCTTCTTATAGTTTTTTCAATCCTGATTGTATCTCTTCTTGTCACAACGGCAGCTCTTCTGAGACATCTCATCCATGTTGTTACTATCTTCCGCTCATTAGTTGTAGTAAGGGTCAATGTTTGGCACTGGTAGCACAATGTCACATTTCTATAGCAGATTTTAATCAGACAAAATTATTTTCTTGTCATTTTATCTACGCAGGGTAATCTGGATGATATTGATCCTGGGATGTTTGTGTGCCCTGTCTCTGCAAGTTTACAAGCAGGTTCTCTACTTCTTTAGCAACCCAAAGACAGTCTTCGTCGAACAGAAACACCAAGGCTTTGTCGAGTTTCCTTCTTTGACGATCTGCAACGAAAACTCCTATAAGTTAGTTTTTACCAATCATTCATTTCTTCAATTATTTTGTTTATTGTTAATTTTTTTTACAGATGTTGCTGTTTGTTTGTATTAAGGTGTCATATGCGAAGCGATTCAATAAATACAAAACATAAATAAGTTATGGTAAAGATTAAATCAACAGCAAGACGTGC